TTACGCTCCTTCCTTGTATTCTTTATTCAACGGTGCGACGAGTGCCTTCTTCGCATTTGCACCTCTAGCCGCGCGCGCGAAGGTGCGCGGGAAAAGAATCTTGCCCGCTCGCTTCCCTGACGTGCGGCCGGGATTAGGTCATGAAAGTTGTAGTGAGCCTACTATATACGCGCGTGGTGCGTTCCACTGGGTGTGGTCACACGTGTTGCGTGTCAGGGCCAATATCGCGCGACATACGTACGAATGGTAAAAGGGAGCGTCGCTCGTTTCGATCGCGGTGCAACAGCGGACCCCAGGAAACAAAAAAGCAGTGGAAAAGAGAGAGAGGAGAGAGAGAGAGAGAGAGAGAGAGAGAGAGAGAGAGAGAGAGAGAAGGAAATAAAAAAACGAGATCGCTTATTGACGAGCAAGACTGGTATTTATACGTGCGAACGGGACTCGTCGGGACGAACAAATCGCCGAATCGATACGACAAATTATCGGTCGATCGAGAACGACACATGGCTCGTCGTTCCGTCCGTCGCGCCCGTTCGCGGACATTCTTTTTTTCCTCGTTTTCTCTCTTTTGTGCGATCGTAGGAAACAGTCAATCGGAAGAGTGAGAGAGGAAGAGAGTAAGGGAGGAAGCATGAGGGAAGGGAAGGAGGGAGGGGGGGAGAGGGAGCTGTCGCGCAGTCGCTCGGCAAATTACTCTCGATCTCGACGCGACGAACAAAATGCTCGGCCGGCTACGATTGCGTATCGAGTATCGATTGCAGCGCGCGGCCCGCGCACGATTGGAGGGCCGAATGACGTTAGAAATTAAGGAGCGCTCGCCGCAGCGCGTCGTCCGCAATTTCCTGGCGGGCGCCTGGTGGGACATTCGGGGATATGTGTTTCGCTATTTGCCCGAGAATGATTTACCGGCGCCCCTTGGCCGCGAGGATGAGTTCCGCGCGATTGCATTCGATGAGAGAGAGAGAGAGAGAGGAGAGAGAGAGAGAGAGAAAGAGAGAGAGAGAGAGAGCGCGAGACGGAGACCCTCCGGCCCCCTCCCTCTCTGTCTCGGCCCTCGGATCTTTTCCCAATTTATTTCCCGGGATGGCAGAAGTCTCTCCCCTCGCCCGCGGATAACGCGCCGGTCGGGCGGATGGTTTCAAACTATCAGTTTGCGTATATTTGGATTTCATTTATCCCGGTAAAGTATCCCGGCCGATGTCACGAGCGGCCGGCGGCAGTGGCGGCGAAGATTAATCGCGTGTCCCGCGATGTGAAGACGGATAAATCTCTCTTATCGCGTTAGCAAGACGAGACGAGCTCGCCGGCCGGCCGGCCGGCCGCGACGCGAGGAAATAGATCGAGCGACTCGAGCGCGGACGAGGGAAACGATTTTCATCGTCATCCCGCGTGCTTTATCGTAATTTAACCTTTTATAACGCCGTGTAACTTTTTAAGTCGCGCACACTCTGATATATCGGTATTCTTATGTTAAATTATACAAGGTGTTTTTCCGACCACCCATCCCGCCCCTTTAGAATAAAGGAAAACAGTTTTTAGCAAAAATCTGGAACATTTTTGGGACTAAGTCGGACATGTTTTATTCAATGGTGACATTTTCAACTCTCGACCGGACTGTTGATCGGAAATTGGCTATGCAGGCCGAAAGTTTAGGTTTTTTTTTTTTAATGGAACATAGCACTTTTTGTTGCATATTCGGATTACATACAAAAAAAATAAAGGGTAAATATGCACATTTTATTTGAAGGGTATTTTCAAGATCAGTTGAAGGTCAATTTAATTTTTTAAAACTTTTTAAAATAGAAAGCCCAATTTTTTTATTATATCTTCTTTCTCTACCAATTAATTTTAACAACTTGTGTCTGAAACATTTTTTATTTGCCTAATATTTTTTGAAATATTTAAGGAAAACTTTTTCAACATTTAACTTACGATATCTCGCTAACTATTCGTCGAAAGAAAAAATAGTATTAGACTTTTTTACTTTATTTACTATCAAGAATATATTACTATAATAGTGCCCTAACTTTTGTTAATCTAATAAGTTTGAAATTTCCAATGTTTGATAAACGCATTAGAGAAATAAAATTTTATAATTAAATTTTACATATTGATATAAAAATAAATAATATTTTTTGCATTTCAGAATTTTATTGTTGTTAATAAATCTTTCCTTTACGTATTTTTGAATGTTTATTTCACTAATAATTATATAATAGTGGAGAAGTGAGAATGATGTCCATTTTAGATCTTCGGTTTGGATATTCTATGGACGTCCAAAATTGTGAAAAACAGACGTCCTATGGATGTCCTAGGAACGTTCGTTGAATTTTTTGGACGTCTTATGGACGTCTCGAAGTCCAAATTCGAACGTCCACCGGACGTCCGTGTGTTATCTGGGTATGAGCGGTGGAGGGACTCCACTTCTCTGCCGCATCCTCTCCCCAAGAAAATTCTAACCTAACCTAATTTATTGTATCTTTACATATTGTTGAGCGTTATTGAAAAGATTAAAATCTTTAAAACTTATGCCTGACAATATATATTGATGTAATAAGTTAGGTTAGGTTAGGATTTTCTTGGAGAAGGGGGGAAGGGCTTCACCCCTCCTCCGCTTATATGTACTGTTTAACATTTTTTAATGTACATTCGAGATTTAATGTAAATATATTCGAAATGTATTATACTGGATATATAGAAGTTGCATTTCATTTTTTTCCTCTTTCGACCACGAATATTTTTATAATAGTTGTTTACACAACGAATTCTTAGAGATATGTACTGCATCGCATTGTGATTGTATCGCACAGAACAATGCTCAGTTGTAACACTTGAACCTGAATAAAATCAGCTTAAAAATTGAATAAAAAAAGTTTGAATAAAATCATCCAGAAACTCAGTAAAAGTTTATTTTTTTAATATCATTTCAAGGTCACTGGAGGTATTCCAGAAAAAAATGTTTGGGACAGAAGTTTCTTATTTTTGTATGTAATTCGAATATGCAATAAGAAAAATATGCAATAAGAAGAAATAACTATGTTCTATTTAAAAAATGAACTCTACTTTTGGTCTGTATAGCCAATTTCCAGTCAATACCGGAAGTTATAATATCACCATTGGGCAGTGCATACCCGATTTAGTTTCATGTTTTCCTTCATTTCCTTCATTAAAAGGGCTGGACGGTTGGTTCGAAACATCCTGTATATGCATATACAGATATTGCACCTCATTATAACCTCAAAGTTACAAACCGTTCTTTTAAAATAAAATTTCTGAAAAAATTTTTAAGATAATTCATACAATTTTTTCAAAGACTTTGAGAATTGTGAAATTAATTGTTCATTTATATCTGGGAGTTAATAATTTGCTTGGTTTCACGTTACATACACGTTCTTATACTCACGAAGAAGAAATTGAGTTACAGACGGTTAACATTCCGTCACCCCGTCGCGTGTTCTGCTCCGCAGCGATCGACTCTTCTGCAGCGCTGCTCCTTTCTCGCGCGCGCTGCATAGCTAATAACGCGCGCGTTACGTCCCTCCGCCTCTTCCGAAGTCAAAATCAATCCTCCGCCGCCGCTGCCGCCGCCGCTTGCTCCCTCGGAATCAGAGCAATTTTGCAAAACCGCCTGAAGCTCGCCAAAGGCTGCTGCCAAGCCCGTCGCGCGCGCGCGCGCGTAGCGCATAGCGAATGAGCTCGTTAGCGGAAGTTCAGATCTGTCGAGAAATCAGCGGCGTCATATCCCAGCGCTCGCAGTCGGGAGTTTACTCGCGGCAGCTGGCAGTCCCGCAGCGGGGGATTCTTCGGCGAGTCGCCCGAGCTTACGGCAAATTGCAGCTGCAAGTTCGGCCGTCGAGAGTTTTCAGGCCAGCGAACATGGCGAGCGACGGCTCTCGGACCGCTCGCGCGAATTAAAAGAGAAGCGGACGGCAGAACGACTTCCGTGAGACATAAAATTCCCATGATAAATCTCGCGCGATCATCGCGAGAAGTTTCGGCGGATTCTTTGCCGGAAGCCGCCGAGATATGAACGCCGCCGCCGCTTAGCGGGCGGATTTATACGCACGCAGCAAAAATGGGAAACGTGAGCGGACGTGACGCGAACTCGCGTGTGTCTCGCCTCCCGAAAGTCCCTCGACGAGATTGCGAGTAAATACACGAGAGTGCCAAGATGGCGCCGTCGCGTGCGGATAAACAGACGCGCTCGTCGGTGCGTCCACGCGCTCGCACACATTAGCGAGGAAGTTATAACGAGCCGAGCGCATTTTCCGAATCGTTATAACTTTCATCTCGAATATTGCGGATCATTATAACTTTGCTTTTTTCCTCTCCCCTCCTGCCACCGGCGAGTCGCGCCGCAGCGGCCATCGTCGCGACTCGTTCGTGCTCTAACGAAGTGCGCCACGAGCTTCGTTCGTTTCGCCAGCAGCTGTTACCGTCGAGCGCGCGCCGCGTCGCGCTGTGCAGGTCGCGGCTATCAGTTTTTCAGCATGCTGCGGACGTAACTATCCGAACAATACTCAATTAACAAGGTGCGTACGCGCGAGCGAGCGCCGCGCTCCACAGAATCCCGTGAATCGCGGCCGGACGGCGCGCAACGCGTTAACAACACCGACGCGCCGATCTATACCGTAAAAATGGCCGCTAAAAATGGCTACGAATTGAAATCTGGAAGCTTCGGGAAAGGAACTGCGCTTTCGGACTGTTCGCACTTCGGTTTCCCAGGCCTAGAATAAGAGATTCTCCTCCCCCCCCCCAGCGGCAGCGCCAAAGATGGAGCTGGGTGGTTTTTTAGGTGGGCTCTGGCCCACCTAAAAAAACGCCGGTTCACCGTAAAATTTTAGAAAATTTTAGTATAATTATGCTGTTCTGTTCTGTCCAAGTTTTCAGGCCCACCATGGCCCATCCATATATAAACGCTGGCCAACCCGCATGATTAGTCCTGGCGCCGCCTATGCCTCTCCTCCCCCTCTTCTCTCTCTCTCTCTCTCTTGTCGACTTACTCAACGTCGCATTGTTGGCGCGAGACTGGTCCGTCTGCGATCTGAGCAGCCGCAGTCGATTCAGCTTGCTCTGCTGCTGGTCCAGCCTGTGCTTCAATCTGGCGAGCTTGTCCTGCTGTGCTGGCTCCTGAAACGGTAAACACAACGCGTGAACGTGAGCGCTATACGCGGCATCGGGCGAGCACGGCTGATACGGTGAATGAACGGTAGTCTAACGCGGGAGTCAATGAGAGGACCGCACGAGTATCCTTACGCGCCGCTTGTCCATTTCGCTCCGACCGAAACAGCCGTGAAAGTTTGCAGATGCGCAATGCGCGTCGTAACAATGTTCTCCGGCGGAAAAACGCGCGAACGCGGTTTAATGATCGCGAAGACGTCATTTCCGCACGTAGATGAGAGGCACGGAACTTCCACGAGCGAGAGCGAGAAAGGGAATGGGGAGGAAAGAAAGGGAGTTCCGATAGTTTAGACTCGAGTATGTGAAATACCATCGACTATTGTTGGGAGTTTCCGTGGTAACCGCAGCGGAATATTGGGAAAAAGGAAAGCACGTTATTGTGCCCCGAAAAAGGGACAAACACTCGGTAATGGCTTTCCGCACACGCGACGTGTCAACTTTACGCTCCCAAGATTCGCCGGAACACTTTTTCCTGTCTCTCTCTCTCTCTCTCTCTTCCTCATCGCGTCTATCTGTCCGCCCTGATCAATATAATTTCCCGACGTTGTATTGGATGAGCGCAAAAATTCGGATCCGATTTCTCATTAAAACTCAAGCAGTAATTTGCTATGTAAAATTTTTTTACTAATCAAAGATATGCTTCGCCGTCGTTTTCTATAATCTTTTTCCAATATTCTGCTGGCATATGGATGTCTCGATCATAAAACGATCTCTTGTAACGACTTGTAAAGTTACGGCCATTTTAAGATAACATGATGAATTCCAAATCCTGCGCTGTTATAGCCCATATATTATAATAAATTTGGGGTCGATCTGAGATCAGATTCGTAATCAGCGACCCCAAAAACCCATATATACAGTTTTCAGTCCAGGTTTTCGGGTTTATAGTTCAAAGTTTACAGGTTTAATGTGAATGCTCATGAGGTTGTTGGGCTATAACGGCGTAGGGTTTGGAATTCATTATGTTATCTTAAAATGGCCGTAACTTTACAAGTAAAAATCGTAGATGACCATTCGACAGCTCATTTTGAAGGGAAAGAATAGTACTAAATGATTCAATTAGAAGAAAAGAGTTAAAAAATTTTGTGCATCCTATACATAACCTCAAAAGTAGCCCAAAAAGCCATTTTTCGAGTATATAACCTCAAATATCTCAAAATCCTGACGTGATGGGCCAATTCTGACCTCGGATTCGGATTTTACGCAGAAAATTACTTGGGAAACGACCCCCAGCTGCCCAACAACAAAACCTTGTAGACCTGTGTTATCGGCACTTCAATAGGAGATTCTACCACACGCTGCGTGTTCACCACAGACTGTGCGCCTTCCGATTACCATTTCAATTACTTCGATCTATGCAGCACAGCCTTGCTGATCAGCACTTCAAATCATATGAAGAAATACAAAAATGGCTCGATGAGTGGATTTCTTCGAAGAACGAACATTTCTTTTATCGCGGAATTCACTTGTTGCTCGAAAAGTGGGAAAAAGTTATAGCTAGCGATAGAAAATATTTTGAATAAAATATAATTTAACGTCTCACAAAAATAAACATATTTTTTTTTGCAAAAAACTCAACTCAAAACTAACATCCAGAGTATCTACTAATACAGGGGTTCCCAATCGGGGGTGCGCAAAAACATTCTTGGGAGTATGAGAAAAAGTGATTGTAATTAACAATGATTGAGATGGATTCTGGAATAATCCGGCATCTTTACCATCAAATTAAAAAGGAATCAAAAAATTGAAAAAAAATTATTGAAATTATATATTTTTTACGTATCTGTATACATTTACGTATATATTCATTACGTATATCACTATGCGAAGCTTGATACCATGGATAATAATTTTCTAATATTAAAATGATAGTTGATCTTTATAAAACAATACTATCTAATAATAAATTATTACAAATTAACTTCTTACTTTAAAACGCTAATAAAAAATTTTTACCATAAAACATACGAATAATTTTTTTTGTAGAGGCTGCGAAGATTCATTAATAAATTGTTAGGGGTACGAAATACAAAAAGGGTTGGGAAATCCTGATCTAACAGTATCGAGCACGAACTTTTACACTCATCCATATAATAGACGCGCGAGAGGGAACGATTAGCTAACGCATTCTTCTCACGCGTGTCACGAGTCGTCGGACCCCGCGTGCAGGAGTCACAAGTGCAGAGCAAGCGGCAGCAAGGCGGACGAGGAAGAAGGCGAAAGCAAGAGAATGACGACGAAAACGCTAGGACACGATGAGAAGACTCACCTGTGCGCCTCGAAGCACGGCTAAGCGGGCCTCTCTCTGCTCCAGGAGGCGCCTTTGCTGAGCAATCTCCCGCTGTTGCCTGGCCGCCATGCTTTCAAGCTCGCTGAGCACCAGCACAGCACCACCCCCGCCCACTACTAACTGAAATAAGATTAAAGGTCTGTAAGAATACGGCGAGCGTGTAGTGTGCGTAGGTAAAACGTCGGCGACTTCGACGTGAACGAAGAGGAACACGCGAGCAGGTACGAATGACGGCGTCGATTAATTGTACCGTCAATATCGGCTCTTCGATCGCTGCCCCCTCGCCGTTTCCTGATCCTCCGAGGTGGTCCCGAGTTTTCGCCGAATCTGCACGCGTCACGTGCCAAAAGTCAGGGGTGAGAGGTAAAAGCAGACCGCGCGAGATTCACGGCTCTCCCGAGTTTATACTCGAATATTGTCTTCCACAGAAAGAATAAAAGAAAAAATAAAACAAAATGTAAAAGTGACACAAAAATGGCGTATTTCGGAGCGACGGGTATACTTTGAATCTTGAAGCAGAGGCAAGTAGATCTCGGATTTACCCATGCGAGTAGACGATAGTTGCAATGTTGTTTCATCACCGGACATGAGAAAACTATGCTTAGCGACCACAAAATTGGCGAGCCCGATTAGTGTATGATCTTAGATCCAGCCAGGATTAACAGCACATCAGACTCGGCAATCAGATTCACGAACTGTACGACGATCGCGAAGCAGCTTTCTCTCCACTGAATGCAGCCCACGTTCCGCATACAACTTAAGGGTTTAGGCCTTGGCCACAGGCCTCAAAATCACTGTCATTTCCGGGAATTTTTTCTGAGGACATAACAAAAGAAATACAAAAATGAAAATAAGATATTTATTAAGCAACTTTTTAGGGGGAAAAAAAAAAGTATTTTTTTATAAATATTTTAAACAAAATGGCGGCGTTGAAGCCGAGACCCTTTTTGACCGACGTTCTCAGCGGTGTTCAATCTCACGGCTAGAGCATTGGACATAAAACAAAAACGAAAACATTTTTATTATTTAGATGCCAGAAACTGAAGAAATACATATGGATTTTGCGAAATATTAAAAACTTTTTTGCAATTAACACTTTTGCACGAAACTTTTAGATCAGAACATAAAATTTGTTTTCAAGTGTTTACCACATTTCCACAAAAATAAATATTTTTAAATATCTATATGTACTTCCTCAGTTTCTGGCATCTAGATAATAAAAATTTTTTCGTTCTTGTTTTACGTCCAATGCTGTGAGACCGTGAGACTAAAGAGACCGCTGAGAGCGTCGGGTAAAAAGGGCTCCCAGTGTCTCGGCTTCAACGCCGCCATTTTGTTTAAAACATTTACAAAAGAATACTTTTTTTTTCCTTTAAATAATTGTTTAATAAATACCTTATTTTCATTTTTGTATTTCTTTTGTTATGTCCTCAGAAAAAATTCTCGGAAATGACAGTGATTTTGACCCGTCCAAAGTGGCCTAACCTCTTAAGAAAGCGACGCCCTCTGTCTATTTATCGGGATTTTCGACTGAAATGACAGACGGATTTGTGACATTCGCTCGCTCCGCTGCCGCAGCCTCGAATTTTCACAACGCATCTGCACATCGGATCAAAGATGGCAATGCGGCGCAAAGCCCTGACCTGTCGAAGGGGGGGGGGGGAGAGCGCTGGACCGACGCGACGTGTGCGCGCGCGTCCTTTTTGTTTCATCTCGTGTGTGCCAGCATCTGAAGAAAACCGACCGCCTCGCCGCGCCCGATACCAGGTAGAATCTCAAGGTCGGCGTGTGGCCCTTCGAATTCCACCGCGACAAGGACTTCGTGTAACCTTCGTACGTCAATGAAAGTGCCGGACGACGACGACGACGACGGCAACGGGACGGTCAACGGCGGGCGGCGCGAATCGAAGAGCGAGCGCGGTGCGACGCAAATGTCGATCATGTGCCGCCCCTGGCACGTCGATCTGTCGTCCTCTTTGGAAAACTGAACGTCCGACATTTCTCCCTTTCATTGCCTGGTCCCTTTTACCGCCGTTATCATTGACCGACTATTTCTATAGCCGCATATTCAAATTCGCGAGTATCACTCGGGCATCCGGTTAATAACACTTCCGAGTCTGAAGTGCATTCGTTCGTTACCTGTTATCGTTAAAAAAATCCGATGAACAAGCGATATTCGAAATAATCGGATACTCAAGTGCGTGATTATTAGTCGACTTCCTACGGTAACAAATATTTCCAGGTCTGAGAATTATTTATTCGTTATTTATCATTCTTAGAAAATCAGGCAATACTTGAAATAATCGGATACTCAAATCAACGTGGATTATTACTCGAGTACTCGATAGTAAGTATTTCCAAATCTGAAATTCATTTGCTCGTTACCTGCCATTCTTAGAAAATCAGACAATACTTGAAATAATCGGATTCTCAAATACGTGGATTATTACTGGAGTATTCGATAGTAAGTATTTCCTAATTTGAAATTCATTTATTCATTCATTTATTCGTCATTCTTAGATAAATAACAGACAATGCTTGAAATAATTGAGTACTCAAATACGTGGATTGTTGCTCGAGTACTCGATAGTAAGTATTTCCAAATCTGGAATTCATTTGTTCGTTACCTGCCATTCTTAGAAAATCAGGCAATACTTGAAATAATCGGATACTCAAATATGTGAATATTATTCAAGTACACAATAGTAAACACTCTCAAGTCTGAAGTGCATTTGTTCGTTGTTTATTACAGTTAAAAGATCTGATAATTAAGCGTACTTGAAATAATCGAATACGTGAATATTACTCCAGTAACCAACTACTAAGCACTTTCAACTTTAAGGTACATTCATTTGTAATTTGTTACTGTTAGAAAATCTGATAATCAAGCGATACCTGAAATAATCGGAATACGTAAATATTACTCGAATAACCGATAGTAATTAGTCTCAAGTCTGTAATGCAGTCGTTCATTATTTGTCGTCCATAGAAAATCAGGTCATACTTGAGATAATCGGATATTCAAATACGTGAATATTACGAGTAATGTTAATAAACAAAATTAAATATTAAATAAATTAAATTAATAAATAAGATTAATAAAATAAATAAATTATTTAAATTAATTAAATTAATAAAATTCAATTTAATAAATTTTATTTAATAAATTTAATTTAATTTAATTTAATACATAAAAACTTAATAAAACAAATTAAATTAATTAAATAGAAAGTCAAATAAATAAATATCAATAAGTATTTCCGATTAATAATAAGAAGTTTTGCAATACAGTCGCACGTTATCGTTGGAAAGCCCGATAATCGGTTAAGTTCACAGAAACAATCGAAGACCCGGATATATCAAGGTTATACCCTCGAGCATTACCTGAGATACACGATGTTACCTACGACAAAAGAGGAGACATCCCTAAATCTCTCGCTCGCTCTCTTCCGCAATCGCAATCGCAATGGCGATTGAAACAAAGAGCATTCTCGTTATCGCGCACAACAAAACAAGCGAAGCAGGCAGTCAAGCCGCGAGAGCATCGCCGCGAGTCGTTTCTTTTAATCGGGTCGTCGTGTCATAGTTGAGCGGCTCCAAAGTCGCGGCGGTGTTTTCGCATGCTTTGCACTCACGCGCGCACGCCGCGCTCTACCTGTCCTGTCCAATGCGCGAGTGACTGGGGAGCGGTCTTGTCGCGTCGCGTCTGAACAAAAGTATCGCGTTGCGCGACATCCGCAAGACAATAACGCGGCGCGGACGCGACATGAACGCGAGCGGACGATAATACAAACGCGCGGGCGCCTTCCTTCGGTCGCCGTTCCAGCTCCTGCCTCTTTTCACTCCGCGCTCTCCCTCGCGTGACATTTTGTAATTGTTCCGAAGCGGCTCTCTCTCTCTCTCGCGCGCGTGGACTGCCACGGCGAACTACGCCAGCGGTTTCTCGCATTCGGACATATGTATCGAACGAGTGCAGATATGGAAAAGCCATTTCCCGAGAACCCCGAGAACCGCCGGCCGGCGGCACACGGCGACGACTTCGCCTTTGATTTCATTAGCGCGACGACGCTACGTTGCCACGCAACGTCGGACAACAATTGTGTTTTCTCTCTCTCTCTCTCTCTCCCTCTCTCTTCTCGCCGGCCTCTGCTAAAAGCTCTCGCCGCCTCGACTCGGTTCGCCGATTCACACCCGTTCTCATTTGCATTTTGCCGCGCTGCTATAAATCGGTTATCGCCGCGAACGCCGGGATGCTCGAACAAAAGTATCATTACAAGGAATTATATACACGGCCCAAGCGCGAGCCGTCCACGTCCATCGGAGCTCCGATTAATCCCAGCGGCTTCTCAACCGACACTAAGAGGACTCGTGTAATCCGCAATACTCGACGAAATACGTTCCCGCCGATGGGAGAGCAATGGCGGTAAAGAGGAAAGGGGGAAGCGGTCCGGTGAAAAGAAGATGCGCGCTCTCTCTCTCTCTCTCTCTCTCTCTCTCTCTGTCTCGCTCGCTCGCGGGAACACGTAAACCGAAAAGAAATTTCTCATAGAAGCGGATTCTTGCAGGAAGCGGATAATCCCCCGGGGGATGATCCCCCGGCCGTATGATCCTCCTGCAAAATTAATTTCCAAGAGGCTGAAAACAGGTAGCGCGCGCGGGAGAAGAAGCCATAACGTAATCGGCAGTTTGTTCGCCTCTCGGAGGCTACCGAAGAAGCGAACTGACCTCTCTCCTCCTTCCTTCGCCGATTCCTTCCTCCCCCTTCCGCGATGCATTCGCTCGCGAAATGAATGCGAACGCGCGACTGCGTCGTCTCTCTGTGCGCGCACGAACGGGGCTGAAGGGAGAGCCGTCAACCCTCCGAAAGGTATTAAAGGACGAGCAGAAAATAGCGAGAGAGCGAGCGCGAGCGAGCGAGCGATTTATATGTAATAATCGGTGTAGAGCGAGACAGTCGACAATGGACGACTGCGACTTCCCTCCTTTCCCCGCGCGCGCGCGAAGCTCTGTCCTCTCGCGATACACACGTACATCCTTTCCGCGCAGCGACTGATTCAATCAGGATACAATGAATATAAATAAATATTCTCGTCTGCATTTTATTCCTATTAGTAATTTCTGCAAGGGAAGAAAAGTCAAGCAATAAATGATCGCGAGAGCGCCTCTTGGCTCCTCTCCTTCCTCATTCTTATTCCGCTTCTTCCTTCTCTTCCTCCCCCTCGTCTTCTTCTTCTTCTTTCTCTTCTTCTTCTTCCGTTAGATCTTACCTCGTTGCCCACTCGGTTGCCGTTGCCGCCGCATCCCGTCGCCCCCGCGGCGTCCGAAAGTTTTTCCTTCACCGCGAGCGGGGACTTAGACTTTCTCTTCGATTTTCCATGATGGAGCTTCACCGTCACGGTCTTCACCTCGAAGTTTTCCGCCGGATAGACGCACGCCAGCATCCTCACTCCGCGACATGTGCCGACAACCCGCGCTCGACTTTGTTGCTTCGCCTCTTTGTGTCGCGCGATTTACGTTCACGCAAAACACGACTCTTTCTCTCTCTCTCTCTCTCTCTCTCACTCTCACCGAAACGCCCCAACGACGACGACGACGACGACAACGGCTTCTGTATCACGTTCGATTATCGAGTCCGATAATCCGATTCTACGAACTGAAAGAGTACACTCGCGTTGCAATTAATGGCCGGCGAACGTCCGTCTGCCGTCCGTCCCAATCACGCGTGCCCCATTATCGTATTTAATTCAGCGCGATACAATGCGTCCGTTAATTACGAAGAGGGGAATTATTTAAACGGCGATTTAAATGGCGCGGCCGACACAATGGCGCGTTGCGACGGCTCGTCCTCGCGAGAAAGCTCGACGCGCGTCGAAACGCGGCCTTTTTTCACAGCCGGTACGGCTCGGATTTCATTGCGTGAACGCAACGAAGCACACGGCCGGATGCGGTAATCCGCGTGCGGTCCATACTTTCTTATAATTGACCTCGTTACTCGCCGTCGTTCCGGTAGCGCGGCGTTTATCGATTATTCGAATTATGCTATATGCCGGCCGAATCTCGTTTAAAGTTAGCAGTAACCTGAATGACCACTCGACTCTGCTCGCTGCATCAAAGAGCGATTCGCAAAAAAAAAAAAAAAAAAAGGGGGGGGGGAAGGAGAAAAAGACTCGCTGTATTTCGAGAGGCGCGACGCATTTTGCGCGGGACGGAATTTCGAAGCCGCTCGTTCTCGTTCGTTCATTCGATAAGCTGCGGAGAAATTACCGGGAAATATTAATGTTAGTGATCTCTCGCCGAAATTTCAATGACTCGACATATGTTGTGTTAAGGACATGGCTCTGATTAACTTGCACAAAGTTTTAGCAGTCGTTCGTTGTCTATTAAAGAGTTATTGACAAAAGAACTTTCACAAATACAACCTATTTTTCCGACACTGTGCTCAACATTAAAAATTGTTAACCGGTACGTGTAAGCGGTGGAGGGACGTTCCTCTCTCCGAGAAAACCTAACCTAATCTAACTCAATCTAACTCAATTTATATAGGGTGTTTTAAAAAAAGATTCAGTAGGGCGGATAATACTCACAAAATGGAGGAAAAGTCCTGATAAACATGAGTCGAAAAATTCATATTGTCATAAACGATTATTTATTTTAATTAAAGTAAATGACTTATTCGTTTCTGGTGTTTCTGTATTCTCTGATATAATTTATCCATGTCATCGACGAAAAGAGAATCCTTAAAGAAAGTCTTTTCGCTCTCGTTCAAAATGTAAACATCTATTTTCTTTCCATTTATATATACGCTTCACCAGGCAATTGTTAGTCACATATCCTCATGAACAGCGAACAGTTGCAAAGAAGTATCACAAAGTTTTGATAGAACAGTAAGAGTGACATCTTACTATTACTCTAATTAAAATCAATGGCAGAAATGGCATTTCATGTACTGTACATCAGAAGTGCGTAAGAGTCACTTGCTTTAATTAAAATAAATAACTGTTCATAACTCTGACAATATTAACTTTTTCGACCCGTGCTTATTAGGATTTTCCCCCCTATTTTTCAATCCATTTTGTTCTCCGCCCTTAAAGCCCTAAACCCCTTTTCATTAACACCCTATACATCTTTGTACACAGTTAGGCGTTGTGGGTTTTAAGAGGACTTTTTCAACAACGCCCAATCACACGTACAGATATATCAGTTGGATTAGGTTAGGTTAGGTTAGGTTGATATTTTTTTCGGAGAGGAAGTACAGGCCGCTCATACGTACTGTTTAACATTTTTTAATGTACAATGTGTCGCAGAAATCTATTTATGAAGTTTCTTTTGTTAGTAACTTTTGTTAATAACTATTTAATAAACAATGAGCGACGGCTACAACTTTTTGCAAATTCACTCATATAATTAGGCATTGTGGATTTTAAGAGGATCTTTTTAACAACGCCCAACCATATACGAATATTTATAAGTTGGGTTTAGGTTTAGGTTAGGTCAGGTCAGATTTGGTTAGGTTAATTTCTTTTTCGAGGAGGAAGTTCAAGCCGCTCATATGTATTGTTTGACATTTTTTAATATACAATGTGTCGGAAAAGTCTATTTATGAAACTTCTTTTGTTAATAACTATTTAATAAACAATTAGCGACGGCTAAAACTTCTTGCAAATTCATCAGAGCCATGTCCTTGGTACAACATATGTCAGGATCATTGAAATCGATGAGGTCGCCACTAATATTAATATTTAGCATACGACCTGCACATTTTTCACGAAAGCTTCCCCTTTTTCGACCCCGTAAACGTGGGACAGCGTTTACGAGCAGTCGCGCCGTTTAAGCCATCGAGTAATGGTCATCATTCGTCGGATCTGGCTAAAATCGATGACAAAATGAGATTAACAACGAGCGAAGCAAGTAGTACTGATATTTATAGCCGGCGGGAATCGCGAAGCGAAGTGAAACCGGAACATGAAGCGGAACACGACCGGCGTTGTGGCACCAGTAGCGGATTTATTAGAGCTTTAGGAGCTTCCAGCAGAATAATATTTAGGGATAGACGTCGGCTGCGAAGCGAGGACGGAAGGACGAGGGGGAGAGGCTGCTATATACGACTGAGAAAATCGCGAGAGTACACAAGGCGCGCTGCGCTTCTACTGAATGAAATTTCAATAATACGTCCTCCGATGCATCGATTTTTCTCCTTAGCGAGGAGAGAATATCGAGGCGAAGCGCAACTGCAATTCTCGCGACTCACCGAATTTGCAGAGGGACCGACAGGGAAGCTTATATTTCAATGATTCTCGAGTCGGGACTTGTTAGGCGCACACATACAGAAAGAGAAGAGAAGAGAAGAGAAGAGAAGAGAAGAGAAGAGAAGAGAAGAGAAGAGAAGAGAAGAGAAGAGAAGAGAAGAGAGAGAAGAGAAGAGAGAGAAGAGAAGAGAGAGAAGAGAAGAGAAGAGAAGAGAGAAAAGAGAAGAGAGAGAAGAGAAGAGAGAGAGAAGAGAAGAGAGAGAGAAGAGAAGAGAGAGAGAGAGAGAAGAGAAGAGAGAGAGAGAGAAGAGGAGAGAGAGAAGAGAAGAGAGAGAGAAGAGAAGATAGAGAAGAAAAGAGAAGAGAAGAGAAGAAAGCAAGAGAAGGAGGAGAGAGAGAGGGGGGGGGGGAGAGAGAGAGAGAGAGAGAGAATAAAGCTCGTGCACGTCGAAGAGATCGGTCGGAAGGATAAACGAGTGCAATAGAAATAGACGCGTTATTTGATTATAAACGCATTCCGAAAAAGCAAACAGATTGTTTGCCGAAAGAAAGAACGTTCGCCCGCCGTTGCCTCGCGCTGCAACGCAAAAGCCACGCGTGCCTCGACACACGTTTTCGTACCGCCAGTCGAGAAAAATAGATTTCGGGGTAACTGCGCGCGCTAGAGAACGGCTGTCACTCAAATTGTGCTTCGACGTGAAGTGGAGCAGCTTTTACAGGCAGGAATCACGCATGTCTCAAAGGAACTTGCAGTCATTTCGGCCACTTACCGCAAGCCTTTCGGATCTTCCCTCCCTCCTCCCCACATCTCGTATTCTCGATATTCATTCTCATCAACGTCAAGTTCAACGTCAAATAATCCATAACTTTGGTGTTTTCTCAAAGGGTGAAGGGATCGAACCGCCGCGCCGGGCGCAGGATCGATATGAGGTTCGGATCTGATGGACCGGCCGCGAACAAAAGACGCGAGCATGAAAAACGAGCCGCGGGGGGAGAAGCGACGCTCTCGACTGTGTGCGAGTGAAGCCGAGAAAATCTGTTGGATATTACAACTTTTCGCGTCTGGCAGAGCGCCGGAGCGCGCCAAAAGGAAAGACGTTTCGGCTCGGCTCCGCTCGACTCGGCTCGGTCTCTTTGCGCTGCGTCGCGCCGCCGTGACGACCCGATAATTCCGTGTCCCGGTTCGCAAAGTGGGAATAAAGCGCGATAATAGGCTATCTT